TTAAATAATGTTTGGTGTATCTATAAGTAATATTTTTTGATACTGTACAAAATGTTATTTTATTTAGAAGTGAATACAGTTTTAATTTATAGTATAATCATCGTTATCGACAATTTCTATTCCTTTCTTATAAAATGAAGCTAATTTTTGAAAGTAAAATCAAGTTCAATTGTTTATTAAATTTGAAAGAAGAAACGAGATTACTTATTGGGTACACCTAATATATATATATATATATGTACTCCATGTATTCTACACGGCCGACAGCAAGATCGAACCGTTAAAATCGATATCTGTTCAATCTTTCGTTCAACTTAATATGACTTGATAACTTATCTCAGCTATTTTATTCGCGTTATCAGCTTCATACGTCACAGAACCATTAACACGCTCTGGCATCTAGTTAAATATTCCATTTGGAAATAGTGTTATTAACTGTGGCGGAAGAGCGTTGCGGAAGAATGAAATATTAAAGGACTATTTGTTTCGTCACGATCACATTTATTCATCTACATATTTATCTTTTGTAAGAAAGGACTGATAACGTCGCGAATATTTTATCATCTTTTTTTTTTTCTCATGTTTGTCTGCACTCTATTAGTATTAACTCTTTGTCCTTGGATACATTATTTTCCGTATCATTATTATCAGCAATTTATTTACGAAATAATGAGTGAAGTATCACTTCAAATAAAATGATACATGGCATTGGAAATAATCATCCTGTTTGTATGGTATTTAGCACGAAATTTTGTTGATTATACGTCTCTGGCATGCGACTTCGTTTAAAGCAATCATCAAGCATAGTATGTAGAAGTTAATGATACGTAATTTCAATTTTCTGAAAAGTTTCCTTCGCCACTTCATAAACTTTCGTAAGATGCAATAAGAGGTCCATGTGAATTATTCGAATAATAATTTGATGAGTGACTCGACTGACTTCACCGACTGTGCTCTATCCACCAGAATTTTCTCTCTTGAAATTTCATCACTGCTTTTACATCGTTATATATCTATCATGCTATCATCATACAACACCATACCAACGTTCATCGTTCATGTCAAAAAAAAATTTATAATTTCAACTGTTAGCTAAATTTAAGTACGACGTGCGAGGAACAGTCGAGCACAAAGGATTAAAATTTCTTTCGCATTACGATGGAATCCTTCGACTTACACGTTCTCCAACTCGTTGCCAAAACTTTCGAACGCTTTAAGCTTCGTAATTTTTAGATTTCCATCATCGCAGACTCGTAGATCAGGGCTTCTCGCCCTGAGTAAATTTGAGCAAAACTGAAAAATCCCTGGGTAAATTAATTCAAAATCACCGGTTCAGCACCAAAGAATTATGATTTTAACAATAAGAATTTCGATTTAATAATATCTATAATAGTGGTCTCTATGATTTTAATAATAAATTCTCCTTACGACTTATTATCAGCAAATGTTTCAATTCCTGTTCCTAGTTTATATATTCAGAGTCGCGAAAATATATCTGCTCGGCTGTTACTAAACCTCCCTCGACAAGTTTGAGAAGCCATCCTGTAGACGTAGATAGACTCTGTGAAACTGGCGATTTTTTTTTGAATCTGGATAAGTGTTGAGCGATCAAACACACTCCTCTTATCAGAGGACCTTTGTCACCCTCGCCACTCAGATTCTCTTTTTATTGCAACATTTTTTTGAGAAGATAAAGCAAGTTACCTGCGATCCTTTTTTCCCTAAATACTCGCAACACTGAATTTTCCAAGCTTAAATAAAGCCAATAGACATGTAATAAAATCTCTTATTCAATTATACGAGTCTATTTAACGTGGAATGCAAAAAAGAAAAAAAATAAAATAAAATTTGTTTTATTACAGGAATTATTCTTAATTAATCTCGCACGGTAAAAGTTCCTTTCTTACCGATTTCTTCTCGATTCCCATCTCTGTATAATTTGCAAACTCTCGCTATTGCTTGAAATCAAGCAAAAATTTTAAACCTAGTTCTATTGAAAAAAAAAAAAAAAATCAACTATATCTATATTAAAAAATACACTGATATCGACCTCATCGATATCACTCTACTAACCCTATTCCTCAATGTCGAAGAAGAAGGAATTTTATCATTTTTGAGATGAGAGGTAACCTATTTCCTCTGGGATACACAACGACACGAACGAAAACAGGGAGAAAAGTATTCGAAAAGTGGCCAATTTGGATTCTCTGCGGTATCGTAACGACGATAATTGAGATTAAGTATTTACCGTGCGAACGATTTGTCAAACGTTGATTGAAATTTTCAACGATATCTGCACGCGAGGCGAGCAATTATTTGGTAAAAAGAGAAAAAAGGAGCATTGAATGAACGTCTAGATTATATTCAGCTATCGAAGATAAGGAAGAATAATCAAACGAAATCGTGTCGTGTCATTGAACTCGGTCTTAATGTCGACCATCGGCATCGCACATTATAAAAAAAAAAGAAGAAAAAAGAGAGAGAGAGAGAGAACAGATGTTGATGTGTAAAAAAAGAAAAAAATGTAGATGACCTTGGAGTAATCTTCGCCGACGACCTTGTGATGGAATTTTTCGTATTATCATCAGATGCACGGGTCCCGAGTCCACGTAGAATTCTCTTACTCTCTTCTTCCTTATCTTCGGCGGGAATAATTCAGATAATCAATTTGTACGCAACAGCAACAGGTTAATCCTGGTTAATCGATTGGTCTAGTTTCTTTTTTTTTTTTTTTTTTTTTTGAAACTAGTCAGTTGACTGAAACGAAATTTCGAATTTTTATTCGTTGCACGCGAGAGTCTTTCGAAACGGAAGAAGCAAACATGTTTTCAATCTACGGAGGAATCGCCCGCGGTTCAACACTCCAGGCATAAATTCAAAGTCAAAGAAAAAAACTTTGTGGACCAGAGAAAATACGACTTAATTCAGCAGAGTATATCTTAATGAGCGATTTCGTCTGTATCTGTTTTTCTCTTTTCTTCTCACACGCCGGTATCTATGACGTGTGAGGAAAGAAGAGAAGATTAAAAACGAACACGTGAATTGTTTTCACTTATCTGGGGCTCTATTGCACTTAATTCCTATCATTTAGACAGAAATTCGCGAAGGAAATCAGCGAGTTTTTCCTCCTCAACAATCAAGTCAAATTGTTTCCTCTCCTCCTCAGATAAAACTCCACGAGTACGAACGTGTTTGCCTCGTTGTCCGATGGATTTAGATAAGCAGATTTTTCCTTTTGTTGTAATAGGACACGTATTGTAAAAGAGTGTTGCACGCTTCGTAATTCAAACGCAAACGTCAAAATTCTTCCTAAACAGAAGGATTAGAGATTGTTAGACGCGAGCAATCTTCCTTGAGATACCGATATTCATCGTATCGTCAGATTGCAAAGTCTGGCGCAAGTTGACGTCGCCGTCGAGAGACTAGACGAGACTGAATCAAACTTTGAAAAAAAAAAGAAGAGGAAAAAGAGAACACATTGTTACGCTGAAACAGGGATTGAAAGGTGTTCTAGATTTCTGTAATATTTTTTTTTTTTTTTTTTTTTTTTTT